AAATTTCACAAACCAGTCAGCAAAACCGACAGACCTTAAAATGATATTTTTTTCACCTCTGAATAACGTTTAGCTTTCCTTTTTGATATCTTATACTTCGAATGCGCTCATGGACATGGTGAAGATTCTATTTTCGCGGGAGAAAGTGCTCTAAAATATGTCTAAAAATAAATTGGTCCGTAAAACGCTGTAACATTGGCATGGAATGGGAGTTGCTCGCTCCTGATTATGGGCTCCTGACCATTTCTCAAGAGGTCGCTTCAAAGAGGTTAAAAAAAAAACAATGAAATCTGTATAATATGCCTGTGTTCACAGGCTAATTAAGTGAAGGTAGAAGTGGAGTATTTGCTAAACCATATTACTTACTCAATTCGTGTGCCATACACGTCTCTGCAATACGCGTGGGAGTTAATTACAACAATTTGCTGGCCAAATCTGTTTTGTCCTTTGGAGCAAAATAAGTAAATAGAAAACTATTAGAAACAGAATCCAAAATAAAAACTAAATCCTATTTTTGAAACGATAACAAGGGACGGGGCATAATTCAATACTCTAGCTGTAGCACCAAGAACCGGGGAAATTCTAAATTTGTTTAAAGTCAATCAACCTCAATGATACAATCATATTTTAATAGTGGTAACTAAAACTGCATTTAAGGAACAGATTTGATTTGCAGATTTACTTCTTTGACTACTGTATCTCTTTCTCCTTTGTTTCTAACTTTTTACTCGTTTTAGAACCTCATCTAAACATTTCTCAAGTACTCGTAATTTTTATGATATATGGCCTCCTCTCTCCCTTCCTCCCTCCCCCCTCCCGCCACAATTTCGCTAAATTACCCCCCGGCCTCTCCAAAACACTCTTTTTGATAACAATCAAGGGAAAAGAAGTACTTTTCTGCCGGGCTACAACTATAGAGAGAGCTTTACCTCCATAAGCCAGGCAGGCGGGTAGATAAGCTTGGTCTCTTTCCCCAGCCATAAAACTGATGGATGAAAAGTCACCAAGGCCTTGATAAGCCTTGGTGCATTTTGTGGCTGGGGTGGCCTTGGAATAGGCAATGACCGTGTCTGGCTTAGGAGGACTTGGGGCTGTTTCAGTGGCCACGCTGGCGAAAACATCAACGGCGGTCGAGGATGCAGAGACAGTTGGAATCTATAGGAAAAATTAAGACGCTCAGTCCGTCTATCAAGCTATTTTAGATTCGAGGAAAAGGACTAACACAAGGACGACATTTAATTTGTCGTTTTCTCGCTTATTCTCTAAAAAATAGACACCCTCGAAAGCATCATGGTGTTTTTTGTTTTGTTTTGTTTTTTCACCAAAAAATTTAGTTCGCTTATTTCCTTTGAAGAAGGTAAAGCCCTCACCCGATGTTTTCGCCACTAGAACATTGTTTCTAAAATTTGTAGTAGAATGACGACGCTATCACGTTTTCCCGCAAAAATGGAGTTGGTTCTCACGCGCGCGATACTTAGTATCTACTATGGATAATCCATGGTATCTACTTAATATTGGGAAAATCTCGTTCTTGTGCTATTGTCCTCGTGTTAGAATCTAAAGCTCTGTAACATTGCAACATAAAAAAAATACTTTATCAAATAAGTATCTTTTGCGCTATCAGCACCAGTTGGGAGCTTGGGTAGCTTAAACGGCCCCGGCCGGAAGAGTGAAGCTATGTTCAAACTATAGCCGGGATAGTTTCTATCATCCCGCATAGGGCCTCTGTTTACACATAACAGGGGTGATTTCGGCGCGATTTCTGTGACGGAGCGAAGCTGCGACGCGCCGATCTCGAAACTGAGTGGAGCGTCACATATCGGATTGGTTTTGTGCCATACTTTGGTGCAGTGTGAATGTCTTTTCGAACCGTCGCGGAAGTTAATGGACCTTACGATCTACAATGGCGACGTCCATGAAAGCGTCGCTGAAAAATATACTTCGCCTCCTTTCAAATTATTTCGCGATTATCCCAAGTTGCCCTGTTACTTATATTAAGCCTGATTTTCATATGTCAGGAAAGTCCCAGACGATCAGGGTTTTACTGTTTCCCGACTGTACTGTCCCAGATTTTGCCGACTAATGAAAACGTAGATATCCCCGACCTGGGATGGACAGGAACAAATCTGGAGAATCGGGAGCGTTTCTATTTTCCCGACGCGTCCCAGATTAGCTGTTCAAACCTGTATTAAGCGGTCATTTGGCCATTTCCCAAGCTCAGTACATGCTTGACTGGAATGGTAATAGGAACGCGAGGACTATTTGCGGCTCTTGCCAATTTCACGTCTGCGATCTGATGAGCCCTGTGTGGGTATGTTTAGAAATTTTAGGTGATTTTTATTTTATGAAGGGACTTATTTCATATATTGTTACATCTTTTACCTTAGGAATTTGTTTGAGTGAGGTTTGGGCCTTAAAGGAAATTCTGGAGGCGCATGATTTCGGTCTTATTCGTTCCTCATCGTCGAATTGATCAAATTTCACACTTGACAGAAAATTTACCTGCGTTCCTCTTATTTCGCCATTTGTGCATAGTGTGCGATTTACTCTAGTCATTGTACAGTCCACACTATTCATATACTGTTTTCAAGGGGTTATTTCCAGACTGAGAAGTTTTTTCCGTTCTAGGATCATCTGCGACAGTGTGCTTTGGCTGCCCGCAGCCGATACGAGTAACCATCGTCGACAATGTAAACGACCACAAAGGAAAGAAAGACCTAACTTGCACAAAAACTTAAGAACTAGAAAAATAAACTTTTTTAATACGCATTCATTTTCTGGTTCTGAGAGCCCAAAAAGGAAACTTCGACTTTTTAAACAATTTATTTAGTTTATGTTGAAGGCGTACTCTTTCGTCGTTTTGCTAAGTATCAATATTTCTTTTTTGGTGGCGTATTCTTTCTTCAACTCCTACTATAGTCTTCACGCTCGTTCTTCCACGCGGTTTTCGGCCACCGGAATTGTTTGCAGTCCTTCATGTTCATGTTCCTCTTGGCTTTCGCAACTCATGGCAGAGGGCTTATTTCCGGCGCGCGCCAGATCTCGCGCGAAATTTATCGTTGTATAGTTTGGGCGCGCGCGCGCGAATACTGACGTCACAAAGGCTTTTCCTTAACGGTTGAAACAAACAGTTTGAGATAGATACGACGCTAAACTTCGAGTTTTATTCTCATTTTTTAATCAACATTTTATCAACACTTCATATCTGCTCACCTTTTGCTTCTTTGGTAGGCGCCGCAGGCATTTCTTACTCATAGCACAACCCATAATGAATATATTGATCACCAAAGTGACAAAAGTCTGAATAGCACTCGTTAGCAGCAAACTGACTGGCTCTGACGAGCGCACGCCTTTTATACCCGCGTGTACGCGCCATTGTTTGCGTCATTTAAAGCTGACGACAGCCCTTCAAATCAAATTTACACGTCCTGATTGGCTGATTCGGAGCCGCCAGTGTCACCGTTGCTAAGAGGCAAAAACGGATGGAAATCTCCAAGGAAACGATAATAAATCTCCTATGAGGTCGGAGAAAATATGATTTTCAATTTCACACTGTTTCAAGTGAAAACAATCAAAAGGTCGGTTCTGTTAAAACGTTGCACACATTCTTGTTAGCCTTAATTGTGATATCGTATGTCCCTAAAGCTGTTAATGAATTTAAAAACAAATGGATTGCTGTAACGCCCTTATGAGTTTCTGGTAACGCTGAATTGAGTTCGTA